ATGGAATTGCAGAGCAACCCCAAACCTCCTCTTCTGGGGTCCCTTGCTGGTACTCTCAGCTCCTCCTCTTTAGTGGGGGCAGACATGCGGGCTTGCTCTAGAGCCAGGCTGTGTTTGTCCATGGACACAATCCTGCTGTCTGCTAGCAGGATTTGATTTACAGCAACAAGAGCCAATGGGTCCCACAGCTGCCTCTCTATCCTGTGGATGCAGTGAGAGAGGAGAGAGCCGCTGCAGCTGGTAAAGCGCTGGATGCTGCGCCCAAATGAAATGTGCGCCCTTTTTCCCCCCACAAATAGAGCTTTCTTTCTGTGGTATTTGATTGCCTGTGCGTTTTTTATTATTTGTGCTATAAACAAAAAAAGACAGACGGTTTTCAGAAAAGAAAAAAAAAAATTGTAAAAAAAAATAAAATTTCGTCATAAATGTAGGCTAAAATGTATTCTGCGACATGTCTTTGCTATAAAAAAAAAAAAAAAACCCCAATACATGTAAATGAATTTTTTGGAATTTTTTTTCTCTTTTTTAATAGTAATGGCGGCGATAAACGACTTATAGCGTGAATGCAGCGGGCTTTCTTACACTAGGGGGAACTGACTTGGTGTCACTAACATCCCTAGTGATCAGTGCTAATGAAAAACACTGACACTGTACTAATGGCACTGGGACAGAAGGGGTTAACATCTGGGGCAATCAAAGGGTTAACTGTGTGCGGTTTCACAGTATGCTGTATGTGTGCTTTCCACTGTAAGCACACTGCTTTGTATGGCTCTGCTTACTCACCGGGTGCTGGTGAGTAATCACCGGCCGGGACCTGGTGATTGACAGCCAAACAACGAATTGCGGTGCGGGTAGGGCGCGCACCCCCTACCCGGAACTGCAAAATCAGTATTTCTGCTATAGGGCGGAGGGGAAGTGGTTAGTATCACTTTAACTTTAGGAAGTTACTGCAATAACCTATCCCAGTATCTATTCAACAGAAGCAGGCAGCAGCAAATGTACAACAGTATATTTTTCCCCATGGTATTAGAAGACAGCTTGTGTAAAAATTGTTCCAATGGCAATTGCTTGAAAAATCTTCACACAAGAAAATTATGTTTACTGCTAAACAGATTTTTATGTACAATTCTGAAAAATCATACTACCTATACTATATAATATATATCTGATGCAACACAATAAGTCATGTGCAGGTGATGCATCATAACTGGGTGCCTTAAGACTTGAGGAGGAGAGATCCAGAAGAAAGCAGAAGCTTTAGCAAAGATAGCAACAGCGGCTATTAAGTAGTGAGAGTGCAAGGCTGTCATCACTGGAACACAAAAAACTCATAGTCTGCCATAATTTGCACATTATTGCAAGGGTTCCTGCACCCCCCACCCTTTGTTCCACTTGGGGTTTTCATTTTTCTCATTTATGCAAAAGAGAGTATTTTTTCCACGGTACAATATGAGACTGGGGATAAAGGAGAATAAACAGAAAAAGAGCACTGCAGCTACTCTTTCAACAAAATCATATGAGCTTTGCCCATGTATGTCTGCCCTCCCACTATTTTGCACATTAAACAAGCAACACCAGATGTATAAGCCTCTCATACTCACAACAACGGAGTAATAATGGGCACTGCCAACACGGAGAACAATTCTTGAAGGGTCTTGGTCTTCCAGCCACCTTCTAGGCAACCAAACTTCCTTCTCATACCAAACCCATCCGATGAAATCTCTTAAAGTGCTGTTCTGAGTGATGTCATTATAACTGGCAGGTACTGGCATGTCTATAACAGGACCTGTCTGTAAGAAGATTAAAAGGGAGGTGGTCATTAGAAAAAAGCCTGTCAGTGCACTAAATAATAATAGATCACATTACATATGTCCTATGTTTAAAAATAAATATCAATCTAGGCTTCTAGTGGCCAATCTGTCTACTTTCTGTATAAATGATTCTGAAGTGGAATCCGAAACTGGTAGAACTGCTAATACACAAATGATCTTACACCGAGCATCCAAACTTACCGTATTTGCCGGCGTATAAGACGACTGGGCGTATAAGACGACCCCCCAACTTTTCCTGCTAAAATGTAGTGTTTGGGCTATACTCGCCGTATAAGACTACCCCTCTTCCAATGCACACCAGTGGGAGGAATAGTGCCCCATCATTGATGTCAGTGGGAGGAATAGTGCCCCATCATTGGTATTAGTGGCAGGAATAGTGCCCCATCATTGGTGTCAGTGAGGGGTGGAATAGTGCCCCATCATTGGTGTCAGTGGGAGGAATAGTGCCCCATCATTGGTATCAGTGGGAGGAATAGTGCCCCATCATTGGCATTAGTGGCAGGAATAGTGCCTATCATTAGTATCAGTGGAGGAATAGTGCTCCATCATTGGTGTCAGTGGGAGGAACAGTGCCCCATCATTGGTGTCAGTGGGAGGAATAGTGCCCCATCATTGGTATCAGTGGCAGGAATAGTGCCCCATCATTGGTATCAGTGGAGGAATAGTGCCCCATCATTGGTATCAGTGGGGGGAATAGGTGCCCCATCATTGGTATCAGTGGCAGGAATAGTGCCCCATCATTGTATCAGTGGCAGGAATAGTGCCCCATTATTGGTGTCAGTGGGAGGAATAGTGCCCCATCATTGATGTCAGTGGGAGGAATGGTGTCCCATCATTGGTGTCAGTGGGAGGAATAGTGCCCCATCATTGGTGTCAGTGGGAGGAATAGTGCCCCATCATTGATGTCAGTGGGAGGAATGGTGTCCCATCATTGGTGTCAGTGAGGGGTGGAATAGTGCCCCATCATTGGTGTCAGTGGGGGGTGGAATAGTGCCCCATCGTTGGTGTCAGTGGGGGGGGGGAATAGTGCCCCATCATTGGTGTCAGTGGGGGGGAGGAATAGTGCCCCATCGTTGGTGTCAGTGGGAGGAATAGTGCCCCATCATTGGTATCAGTGACACCAATGATGGGGCACTATTCCTCCCACTGAGACTTGCTGACCCTGTTCTCGTATGGTGCTGCTGCAGCCAGCATATGTGGTTGCAGCAGCACCTCTACACAGAACACTTACCTGCTGCTCCGGCACTCAATTTTCGCGGGGCCGCTCGGCTCCGCCCCCTCGCCGGTGATTGGCCGCCTGTGTGCCTTTCCTGAGCTACAGTTCTGGCGGCCAATCACCGGTGAGGAGGCGGAGCCGAGCAGCCGCACGAACATCCAGTGGCCGAACTGAAGGAGACGCCGCGCTTCCTGGACCGGATCGTCGTGGGACTGGATCCAGGTAAGAGACATCAGCCCCTGCAAACCCCTGTACTTAATGCCACAGCCCCCCTAAACATGTGTACCGGCGTATAAGACGACCCCCGACTTTTGAGAAGATTTTCAAGGGTCAAAAAGTCGTCTTATACGCCGGCAAATACGGTATATGTTTTCTGTGTGAATTTGTTGCATGTATCTAAGAAGATAATGGGGACTTAGTTGCTTCAAAGTAGTACAGAGTTGCTTCAAAGTAGTATTCAAGTCGCCTGGCAAAGTTGCTCTGCAAGTCGTGCAACTTTCAGGTCGCAGTAGTGTGACCCGAGACTTAAAGTGATACTAAAGTTTTTTTAAAAAAAATAACAAACATGACACACTTACCTGCTCTGTGCCGTGGTTTTGCACAGAGCAGCCCGGATCCTCCTCTTCTCGGGTCCCCCGCCATTGTTTCTGGCCCCTCCCTCCTGTTGGGTGTCCCCATAGCAAGCAGTTTGCTATGGAGGCACCAGAGCAGGCATGCTCTCGAGACGCAGCTCTGCATGTCCATTCACACACAGAGCCTAGGCTCAGCCTGTCCCCTACCTCTCCTGCTTGGCTCACTAGCCAATTTTGAAGTAGTATTCACAAACCTTAAGATGTAGATATGGACCAGTTGTACACTGGTAGGTGTGTTGAAATATTTAGACGGTATGAGAAGAACCGGAATGAGTGAATGGATGGATCACAGCTTGTGTGTACTGTAAGTCAGAAAGCAGGGAAGCTTGCCAGTATGTGTGGAGAAGGGGGAGGGGGGGGGGGTGTTTAATAGCTGTGATAGGTTTTCACTTTGAGAGGGAGGGGAATGGTCCCACCCACCTGTGTACGTGTTATATTGAGTGTGTTTATATATCTGTGGAACAGGTGCCCGGGAGGCTTGAAGGGCCGGATAATCTGAGCTGCCGGGGAAGCTCCGACGGAGACGGCCAACACGTGGTATCTGTCAAGCTGTGTCCAGTTGGGAAATGGTAAAAACCACACAGTTGAGCTACGTTTTTACCACCCCTAACTGCTCCCCCTTTAGCTGCAGAGGCAGCAGCCAGGGTCAGGAACCACTTTTCGGATTCTGAACGATAGAGCGGGATTTCCGCGCATGCTCGAACCGCATTTAAATAGGACGTTTTCTGTCACACTGCTGATGGCATCCAACCCTCTGATGAAGTGCCGTAGCACGAAAGGCCTCAGGAGGAGCCAGTAGCAAGTGTGACTTCCTGACCACTGAGACCACGAGGAGGTCCGGTGGTCTCTGATCCTTATTTGCCGGGTTAGTACATGTTTATTTTTCATATTTACCAGTCTGCTTGTTGGCTAATGGTATTTGTGTGCACATGTGACCCTGGCTTAACTACTGTTGATCCAATAAAGTTCTTGAACCTACTACACTATTGGCGTTCCCTTTTTCTTTGACCCTCTTGCTGGAGGGTTTCAGATCTACATCTACCACTTCTGGGGTACCTGGAACCAGGAGGGGGACCCCTGTCTACCTATCTTTTGGGGCAAGAGGGCTCTCTGGACCTGGAGGTATATCACTGCACCCAAGGCCGATGTCAGTATTTGAGAGGGATGGTCTATGTGTTCTTAGGATCTGCATGCCTGGCTGGTCATCTGGATAAGATTATACACATGCGCATTTAAAATGTGCGGTCGGTGAGTGCGCATTTTTTCTGTTTGTTTCCAGTCACCTAATGAGGAGGAGACCTTCACATTTTTATGATCACTTTATTGTGGAAGGACTTTATGAACTATTTACCTTTACTCACCTAATTATGTTTACCTTTTAATTATCACAGCGCTGCACTATATTTACTTATTATTCTTGTTATGAGGTCCAGTGATTCCTTTGAGTGTTTCAGCAGCTGATCTTTGAGCGCTCGCTTTACTTTTATTCCACAGTTTACATCATCATTTCTGCATTCTGGATGTGTACCTGCATGCCTGCTGTTTAGGTGTTCTGGCACATTTATGATGTGTTTTGCCATGTTCCAGAAGAGTTCCATACAGAAAAAAATGCAACTTGCTCTGCAAGTTCTACAACTTGCTTGGAACAAACCTAGATCTATACTCAAACAAAAAAGTTAACGAAAAAAAAAAAACCCCACAAAAGCAAAAAAAAAAAAATTTTTAAAAAGAAAAAAAAAAATATAATGTATTGAAAAAATGGGCAGATTCGATGGACCACTTGGTCTTTTTTCTGCCATCACTTTTCTATGTTTCTACTTTTGTTTACTGCACTGGAACACACTGAATTTATGTGAACTAAGGCCACTGGAATACATGTAAAACACTGTGTATGTGGTTTTGATACAGAATAAAAATGCACCGGACTGTATCTGGTGTGAACCAGGGTGGATAAAAATCAATGATTTAAAAAAAAAAAAAAAAAAAAAAAAAAAAAAAAAAAAAAAAAATCGGATTTTTTTGATTTAAAATCAGATTTTTTTTATTTAAATCGGATTTTTTTTTATTTAAATCGGATTTTTTAAAATAAAATGCTTTTTGAGGAAAATATATTACCATCCAAAGGTTATTCCATCATGAAATAAAGATTAGTTTTTTAATTATGTAGAATAAGGCTGTATATGTTTAATTTTTTTGGTAAATAAATTCCATTAATCCATTCACAATGTCATGCTCTTCCAGAGGTTTGTGTAAGATTATTGGGCAGTTTCTCTGCCTACAAGATATTATCACAGATGCTTGGTTTACTTTTGCAGTTCTCAAAACTGAATTTGACACAGCGGAGATCACATGCCTCTTCTTCACAGCAAAAATGTTATAACATGAACAGAGTTAGAAAAAGACCTTAATCCTAACTTCTACAAACCTATGAATACAGAATCAACCCCTTCAGTGCTAAGCTTCAAGAAGTTCAGTGAATAGAATAGAAACAATATTTTTCTGATTGTTTGGAGTGGAATAGATCTGCACAAGAAGAAAGTGAATTAAGTGTGAGGAGGAAGGGGCTGACAGTCTAAGTTTCTTAAAATATATATATTTTGTTCAGCCAAATTAGTTACCAAACATGGATGTTTGTTTAAGCAAATAACATATGCTGGAATGTTATTGTTTCAGTTGAATACATCTATTTAAATTGTTATTATTAAGGTAATGATTATTTTTCTCCTTCCTAAGTACAACAGAAAAGTTGTCCAAATATGAATGATTAACCTATTAAACTGGGGATAAAAAATCTAATATGAAAAGTTGTTATTCTAAAAATCTTCATCTACTTGCATATTAAAGTTATACCAGCAAGAATTAGTCTTTATGTAGAAAACTAGGATTTAAATCAAGCCTTACTGACTAGTGATTTAAATCGTGATTTAAATCAGTTTGATTTAAATCAAATCCACCCTGCGGACACCCCATACATCATACATTCGTACACCCCATACATCCCGTATCATACACCCCATACACCCCATACACATATCATACGTCCCGTATACACATCATACATCCCGTACCCATACACCCCATACACATCATACGTCCCATACACATCATACATCCCGTACACCCCATACATCCCGTACACCCCATACATCCCACCCCATACACCATACATCCCGTACACCCCATACATCCCGTACACCCCATACACATCATACATCCCGTACACCCCATACACATCATACATCCCGTACACCCCATACACATCATACCTCCCGTACACCCCATACATCCTGTACGCATCACACGGTCCGTACACCCCGTACACATCACACACCCCGTACACATCATACACAGCCAGTACACACCATACACAGCCCGTACACCATACACAGCCCGTACACACCATACCAGCCCGTACACACCATACACAGCCCGTATGGCTAGCAGATATTCTGACAGGTGTGCAGGAGACCTGCATATCATCAGTAATCTACTGATCGTTGGTGCAATGCTTTCCAGGCTCCTTTGGGCAAAAATAATAAATGCACATTTGTTTACTTACAAAAAAAAAATGTGCATTTATTATTTTTTTCCAAAAGGAGAACTTATCCTTTAAGAAGGTGTATAGAGTGTCAACTCAGGTCTTACCGTCCATAGCGGGCTCATGTACCATTGCTGGTGGAAGCCCTCATTCCTGTCAGCAGAGGTGTCAGCCCGGAAACTCCACATACCACTCAGCTCCTTGTGTTCCCTGGTGGGGGTCTCCCTGGGATACAACATCCCCCCAGTCACAGCTTGTGTCAGGACAGGGCTGACAAGCAGGACAGTCAGACAGCTCCATAGGGTACACATCCCACCAGATGGCTGCTCTGCTGCCTGCTCCTCACACTGCTCAACAAAGCATCACACAGTCCGTACACATCATACAGCCCGTACACACCCCGTACACATACACACCCCGTACACACCCCATACATAGCCCGTACACATCATACACAGCCCGTACACACCCCGTACACATCATACACAGCCTGTATACACCCCGTACACATCATACACAGTCCGTACACATCATACAGCCCGTACACACCCCGTACACATCATACACCCCGTACACCCCATACATAGTATACACCCCGTACACATCATACACAGCCCGTACACATCATACACAGCCGTATACACCCCGTACACATCATACACAGCCCCGTACACATCATACACAGGCTACGCATCATACACACCCCCTACGCATCATACACACCCCCTACGCATCATACACACCCCCTACGCATCATACACACCCCCTACGCATCATACACACCCCCTACGCATCATACACACCCCTACGCATCATACACACCCCCTACGCATCATACACACCCCCTACGCATCATACACAGCCCCTACGCATCATACAGCCCCCCATATGGCTAGCAGATATTCTGACAGGTGTGCAGGAGACCTGCATATCATCAGTAATCTACTGATCGTTGGTGCAATGCTTTCCAGGCTCCTTTGGGCAAAAATAATAAATGCACATTTGTTTACTTACAAAAAAAAATGTGCATTTATTATTTTTGTCCAAAAGGAGAACTTATCCTTTAAGAAGGTGTATAGAGTGTCAGCTCAGGTCTTACCGTCCATAGCGGGCTCATGTACCATTGCTGGTGGAAGCCCTCATTCCTGTCAGCAGAGGTGTCAGCCCGGAAACTCCACATACCACTCAGCTCCTTGTGTTCCCTGGTGGGGGTCTCCCTGGGATATAACATCCCCCAGTCACAGCTTGTGTCAGGACAGGGCTGACAAGAGGACAGTCAGACAGCTCCATAGGGTACACCATCCCCCCAGTGCTCCTCAGCTTGCATCACAGCTTGTGTCAGGACAGGGCTGACAAGCAGTACACATCATCAGACAGCTCCATAGGGTACACATCCCACCAGATGGCTGCTCTGTACACATGCATACTCAGCCCGTACAAATCATACACAGCCCGTAACACCCCGTACACATCATGCTACACATCAACACAGCCCCCGTAGCATCATACACACCCCATACATCATAGCCCGTACACATCATACACACCCCGCATCATACACATATGGCTAGCAGATACACCCCATACATACGTACACATCATCCTTTAAGAACACAGCCCGTACCACACACACAGCCCGGAAAACTCCACATACCACTCATCCCACACCCCAGTACCCAGACATAGGTACACATCCCACCAGATGGCTGCTCTGCTGCCGCCCTCACACTGCTCAACAAAGCACACACAGTCCGTACACATCATACAGCCCGTACACATCGTACACATCATACACCCCATACATAGCCCGTACACATCATACACAGCCCGTACACACCCCGTACGCATCATACACACCCCATACATAGCCCGTACACATCATACACAGCCCGTACGCATCACATACCCCGTACATCATACACAGCCCGTACCCATCATACACAGCCCGTACACATCATACACAGCCCGTATACACCCCGTACGCATCATACACAGCCCGTACACACCCCGTACACATCATACACAGCCCGTACACATCCCTGTACACACCCCGTACGCATACATACACCCCCGTACACATCATACACAGCCCCTACGCATCATACACACCCCCTACGCATCATACACATACGCATCATACACAGCCCCTACGCATCATACACAGCCCCTACGCATCATACACAGCCCCTACGCATCATACACAGCCCCTACGCATCATACACAGCCCCTACGCATCATACACAGCCCCTACGCATCATACATCCCATATGGCTAGCAGATATTCTGACAGGTGTGCAGGAGACCTGCATATCATCAGTAATCTACTGATCGTTGGTGCAATGCTTTCCAGGCTCCTTTGGGCAAAAATAATAAATGCACATTTGTTTACTTACAAAAAAAATGTGCATTTTTATTATTTTTTTTCCAAAAGGAGAACTTATCCTTTAAGAAGGTGTATAGAGTGTCAGCTCAGGTCTTACCGTCCATAGCGGGCTCATGTACCATTGCTGGTGGAAGCCCTCATTCCTGTCAGCAGAGGTGTCAGCCCGGAAACTCCACATACCACTCAGCTCCTTGTGTTCCCTGGTGGGGGTCTCCCTGGGATATAACATCCCCCCAGTCACAGCTTGTGTCAGGACAGGGCTGACAAGCAGGACAGTCAGACAGCTCCATAGGGTACACATCCCACCAGATGGCTGCTCTGCTGCCTGCTCCTTCTTCTTTCTTCTTCACACTGCTCAACAAAGCATGGAGCTGAGAGTCACATGACCCGCTCTGTCACATGACGCCCCCTTCCCCTCCTGTTGAGCTTCGTATTTTAGGCGTTAACTAGAACATTTTTCTAAGTGATGTCAGAGAGAGCACAAGCAGCTCTTTGTTTTGAATAGCATATCCTGGAGAGGAGCTGAAATCAGCACAAGGAGCCAGTCCGAATACAACCATCTATAAACAGTAATATATCTTCCTCTTTGTACATTGGAGCAGTTCACTAAGGAGCTGGTACTCTGCTGCCCTCTACAGCCTGCCTTGTCCAACTACACGTTCTGCCTGCTCTAATGACATCAAGCAGTATTAAACCTAAAAGCAAACATTTAATATATTGCAGTTTACAATTTCTTAGATGTGATGGTTGTATTGGTTTTCTTTTTTCGTGTGTCTTCTATTTTCATCTAGTGATCCAGCCAGTAAATCTGTTCTTTTTTAAAAGAGCGAGCTCTCCAGCAGAATGCATCAGTTACAGAGATTAGACAAACCATTTAAAGCAGAATTCCAGTTAGAATTTTTTTCTACCATACAGTGTGATGGTGCCCCCCCACTGCATGGATTGGCTGCTCATTTTTTCTAGGGGTGAGGGCAAAGCTCATACTCACCGGACACGTTGATCCTACAGAAAACCACGCTCCCCCCCCCCCCCCCCCCCCCCCACGGTCCAGCGGTGGATTGTTCCTGTCTGTGGAGTGTGCACTGAGCATGCTGACGTAGGGAACAACCCATTTACAAGACCGCTGGACTGTGGGGGGCAGGAGACGAAAGGACTGGTCTTGTGCGAGGAGGATCTGTCGGTATCCTCTTCAATAGAACAAAATGAGCATTTGAGCCCCACTACATGGGCCAAAAATGTTTTTTCCCAAAATTTTTGGTTTAACCCTGACAGGGGTGCTTAAAATGATCAGCTTTCATTTAGCCCAAAAGAAACAAGCTCTTTGTTGTAACTGCTTATAAAGTGTGAGCTGGAGTTTAGGTTCAATGTGTTAGTGTTTTTAAATCTGCTAATACATTGAAAGGATAAGTTCACCTTTTAAAAATAAAATAATAAATGAAAAAAATGTGCATTTATGATTTGTTTTAACTAGGAGTTTAGAAAGCATTGCACCAATGATCAGCAGATTGCAGGTGACATGCAGGACCCCTGCAGACCTGTCAGTGTATCTGTGTGCGTGTACCTAGTATGGGCAGGCAGATCATACACTGTGACAGGAAGGCTCAACAGCGCTGTGGTAGTTCATTGAGAGCTGCAAGCCAACAACCGCAAAAGCTGTCGGGACTTGTAGTCATTCATTGAATGAATGAATGTCACAGCCAGACAGGTGGAGCCCCACATGGCCACACTTATTTAAAAATAGTGACAGCTAGTTGGAGGAGAAGATTCCCTGCTGTCTGTCACTCTATGCAGCAAAGTGGACAGTGGCTACAGCAGTGGGAACATGTTACATGTTCTATCCAAAAAAAACGGGTGAAACGTAACATGTTTTCAAAGGTGAACTTATCCTTTAACACTCCCCTTAGCCCAGACTGACCATGCTGCTCTCCAAAGGTGCCCCCTGTGCTCTTTCACCCAGAGTGGGGGCATTCTAATATAGGAGGTGTATTAATGGCCAGATCACAAGATGAAAGGGAGAGGGTAAAAAAGACCAAAAAAAAGAAGAAAACTGATATAGCCACCATATCTAACGATTGGTAAGGTGCAATATACTACATTTTAGTGTTACGGTCAGGGGCAGACTGACAACTCATGGGGCCCCCAGGCAATTGGGGATCATGGGGCCCCTGTGTCCTTGCCCACACTCAAAACACACCCAAAAAAACTTATAAAATTTACCAGGGGCATTTTATGGGGCCCCCTACTGACCCCGGGCCCTCGGGCAGTGCCCGAGTGCTCAAATGGTCTGTCTGCCCCTGGTTAGGGTTGATAATAGTTTACCTGTTGGTGCCGACAGTATGCAAATATGCGGCCTCTCAGTAGCTGGGCCTTGACACCGAGCGGCCACATAATTGTGTACCAAAAGTAAACAAACACCTGCAGAGAGTGCACACCCTGTGCCCTCTGGGCAAATTTAATTGTGCTTCACGGAAAGGTTCCAATCACTACTTGTGATTGGGATCTTTCCGATCATATGACCGCTGTGACAGCCAATCATGGCAGTCACATGACCCTAAAACCCCACCCCCGGTGTCACAAACCCCTTAAAGGGCCAGGAAACGCCCGCGCCAAAGGGGGGTTAATTAGATTTTATTTAAAAAAGTTCTAATTTTAGCAAGTTATTTCTCACACACAGCATAAGCATACTTACAGCCACACCCCAGACACATTCTTCTACTCCTCCCGAGTGTCTTTTGAAGATACATTTTTTTTGCCCCATATAGAGGCACAAAACCCAAGGAACACCTTCATTTTCCTGGGGCATAATCTTTTTTGATTACCTACCACATGTTTGGAAGCCCTGGAGTGTCAGGACAG